AGGTGTGAATCCTCTTCTTCTCACTCCAGCTATGGGTAAATATCAGGACAGACTGGGTTCTATAGCCTTGGATGGCAACTGGTTTAGGACAACTCTGAATTCAAAACCTTCAAAGGGTCGTTTGGGGAACTTGTGCCACTTAGTGCACCAGGTCTCTGAATTCGGTCCTTCAAAAAGTGTGGCTGGTCTTGCACGAAACCGTCACCATTATAATCAAATCTCATGTGCTGTTGTCGGGCTGTCGGTTTCCTGGGAACTGATCTGCTTGACCCTCATACGTCGAATTCGACGGGAGAGTCGACGATATATATATATATATATATATATATATATATATATATATATATATATATAATATTTTTTTTTGAAGTTACAAAATCTAATAACACGTATGGGTCTTCGATTGCGGATCATTTTATAAAGAATCCAACTTGTGCGATGGATTTCAGTGTGAACTGGTTTTCCGTCTTGGCCAGTTCGCACTCATTTTTCCATCTTAAGGTGCTGGAGTCGCTTTACATCAGGTCTAGGCAACCTGCTCTTTGCAAACAAAGAGATTGTTTGCTTGTTCTACGATTCTAGCAGCTTGGTTGGTATAATTTTAATATTTTTTTTCCTTCCCTGTCCATTCATTCATGTCACCCATGACAGACTTTTTCTTTTCCTCATAATCTAAATTCCCCGTTAACAGTTCTGACGAGAGGGGACGAAACCGGTCGACTGTGTGTGTTTTATTTTAAACTTATCATGGCCTACAATACTACATTTCTAGTTTTTAATGCCTTAATATATATATATATATATATATATATATATAGTTTTCAAAAACGATAAGCAGGAGCGTATTCGGGCTTTAGTTCTAAATAAAACTCTAAGAATATTTGAATACACCTAATAGCAACTTAACTAGGTTAATATTGAGAGATTAAATGAAAAACGTCTCTTGTAAAAAAAAATTTTTTAAAAAATCAGATTAGGCAACTACGTCATAAGCCATATCCTCAAGACTTTTAATAAAATTTCACCAATTATTCATTTTCACTACTTTTTTTTTTTTTTTTTTAAAGAACGGCCATTTAAATCTGATCTAGATGCAAAAATAAAACTACAACGTCTCGGAAAACATAATACAATTTAATAATTATGGCAAACATTTTTTTTTATAAAAAACACTTTAAGAGAGAAAATGATAAATTATATAACAGAACGCTGTTAAGAAAAATTAATGAAATTTTTTTTTCCATTTTAGCTTTCCTAATAAGAAACTTTATTTTCCCTTATAAGTTAGCATGATATAAATGATTATTAGCCTAGTGGATTCAAACATCGGTTCGTGAACTTGGTGACTCGGTAATTGTTTGAAACAGTCTAAAATGTAAAATAACAGCGTTTTTTGTTTTTTTTTAATCTTAAAATCTTATCTAACAAATGTTTTCATTTTCTTTGCAAAATATTGCAAAGTCATTGCCATTTTTATTGTGATGAAAAGAAAAACAAATCGAGTGTTAAATCTGATTTGACTTAAAATCCAGAAGACGACGAGTTTAAATAAAATTGCTATTTTGTTCTTATCAGCTTCGATATTAAAAAGAATCGGATGGAAGAATTCTTAATAATATTTATTGACACTTTTTTAAAATACTTGGTGTGAATTATAAATACAGGCGTAAAGCGATTCAGATACTGAAAAATACAGTTCCCACGAAGATTAATGCGTTGGTTGGTGATTTTGGTGACATAGTAATTGTAAGTTCAATCCTTGGTCCGGCCAGTGTATGCCTGGACTCAGTGGTAATGGCGAACAATAACTGAGCAGTACTAAAAATAAGAACTAGACGAGAACTCGCCAGACATGGTCAGTGGAACGAGAACAACATACCCCCGTAGATTAAATAAAGGGTTCATTTCAGAATTCCCTGTCGGTTACCCGGATCAGTAAAGACCTGATGAAGTTCGGAGAGAACTACGGCCGAAAAGTTGAAATAACAAAAACAAAGATGCGGACAATCTTCTGAAAATAAAATAGTGTAAATAATGATAACTTTTCATCCAGAAACTTCGAGAGAAATTATTTATATCTCCTAAGATATTAATATATTTTGATACACGTTAAGGATTCATTTTAATATATCCAGATCGATATACACCTGATGTAGACCGGAAAGTACAAAGGCCGAAACGTTGTGATAACAGCAAAAAATATGAGGACAATAGACCGAATGTAAATAGTGTAAATAATGATAAATCCTCATCCCAATAAATCAGACAGAAATTGGTATTTTATTAGATTTTGTTTTAGTAATTGTTCAACAAATACAAGGTCAAAGAACCACTCAAGGTAGAAAATTACAGAAAGAGGTCGTTGTACGAAAGTAAGAGGATGGAGTAACAAGTGCAGATTATGAGGATATGCAAGAAAGATAACGGTTGACCTAGACTTGAAATGGGATTATAGCGACCGGAAAAGATTGCATTCGGGAGACTGTTTCAATAAAGTAATAGTTCTAGGGAAGAAGCTGTCCAAATGGAACTTCCTTACTAATGCAATATGGAGGAGGTGGAAATGGTTTGTTTCTCTGTACGTGGTATGAAGTGTCTTAGCTCTGAATGTATGAATTGGTGAAACAAATGAAAGTAGTTTGTCAAAACATTATCGATGAAAATAGCGATAAAGTAGCTTTAGACTTGCGAACGTTCGTCTGTGGAAAAAGGATTGTTAAGATAGAAAGTGATTCATTACCCACAAAGCTGCTTAAATGCTTTTGAACTCTGTCAATGCTGGACAAGGAGGACTGGGACAAAGAGAACTGGGTCAGTGAGAACTGGGTCAAAGAGGACTAGGACAAAGTGAACTGGAGCAATGAGGTCTGGGACCAGGAGGTCGAGGACAATGAAGACTGGGACAAGAAGGAATGGTACAATGAAGACTGGGACAATGAGGTCTGGGACCAGGAGGTCGAGGACAATGAAGACTGGGACAAGAAGGTGGTACAATGAAGATTGGGACAATGAGGTCTGGGACCAGGAGGTCGAGGACAATGAAGACTGGGACAAGAAGGAATGGTACAATGAAGACTGGGACAATGAGGTCTGGGACCAGGAGGTCGAGGACAATGAAGACTGGGACAAGAAGGAATGGTACAATGAAGACTGGGACAATGAGGTCTGGGACCAGGAGGTCGAGGACAATGAAGACTGGGACAAGAAGGAATGGTACAATGAAGATTGGGACAATGAGGTCTGGGACCAGGAGGTCAACAATGAAGACTGGGACAAGAAGGAATGGTACAATGAAGACTGGGACAATGAGGTCTGGGACCAGGAGGTCGAGGACAATGAAGACTGGAACAAGGAGGAATGGTACAATGAAGACTGGGACAATGAGGTCTGGGACCAGGAGGTCGAGGACAATGAAGACTGGAACAAGGAGGAATGGTACAATGAAGACTGGGACAATGAGGTCTGGGACCAGGAGGTCGAGGACAATGAAGACTGGGACAAGAAGGAATGGTACAATGAAGACTGGGACAATGAGGTCTGGGACCAGCAGGTCGAGGACAATGAAGACTGGGACAAGAAGGAATGGTACAATGAAGACTGGGACAATGAGGTCTGGGACCAGGAGGTCGAGGGACAATGAAGACTGAGACAAGAAGGAATGGTACAATGAAGACTGGGACAATGGGGTCTGGGACCAGGAGGTCGAGGACAATGAAGACTGGGACAAGAAGGAATGGTACAATGAAGACTGGGACAATGAGGTCTGGGACCAGGAGGTCGAGGACAATGAAGACTGGGAGAAGAAGGAATGGTACAATGAAGACTGGGACAATGAGGTCTGGGACCAGGAGGTCGAGGTCGATGAAGACTGGGAGAAGAAGGAATGGTACAATGAAGACTGGGACAATGAGGTCTGGGACCAGGAGGTCGAGGACAATGAAGACTGGGACAAGAAGGAATGGTACAATGAAGACTGGGACAATGAGGTCTGGGGCCAGGAGGTCGAGGACAATGAAGACTGGGACAAGAAGGAATGGTACAATGAAGACTGGGACAATGAGGTCTGGGGCCAGGAGGTCGAGGACAATGAAGACTGGGACAAGGAGGAATGGTACAATGAAGACTGGGACAATGAGGTCTGGGACCAGGTGGTCGAGGACAATGAAGACTGGGAGAAGAAGGAATGGTACAATGAAGACTGGGACAATGAGGTCTGGGACCAGGAGGTCGAGGACAATGAAGACTGGGACAAGAAGGAATGGTACAATGAAGACTGGGACAATGGGGTCTGGGACCAGGAGGTCGAGGACAATGAAGACTGGGACAAGGAGGTCTGGAACCAGGGTGTCTGAGACAATGAAGTCTTGGTCAGTGACGACTGGGTCAAAGAGAAATGAGACAATGCGGACTGGGTCAAAGAGGAATGAGATAAAGAGGACTGACACAAGGAGATCTGAGACAATCAGGAATGTGACAAAGACTGGGACAATGAGAACTGGGGCAATGAGAGCTCCAGCCCAGATATGGTAGCAGTACGCTATTCTTAGTTTAATCAGGCTCTTGCAAAGATATAAATAGTCAGTTACTGAAGCGTTACAAGGAACCGACCATTTTGTCATCTTCTTTAGCTATGGATGAGTTCCATTTTAAGTCTAGTGTTACCTTGAGTCCCAATGGACGTTCGAAGAAATGTGACTCATTAAAAGTACAACCGTTCATCATTGTAGACGATCTGCTCAGTGATAAGAAAATATCACTAACTTAGTTTTAGAAGTATAAAATATTAAAAGCTAGTTCATCCCCATTGATCTGTTAGAGCCAGATCAGAGGATTGATAAGTTGCAAAGATTTGGTCATCTAGATTTCTGGATGTATACCAATTTCTTGAATTACAATGTATGTTTGAATTCAGTTCTTTGTAACATTAAATCCATATTTAAAAAAAAAACACTTGGGTGATTTTGTTTAGTGACATATCAACATGGAGGGGTCATTTAATGCCGAAATCTAAATATTTTAAACACTGTTATATGGCTTTAACTAAATATATTTTTAACGTAATGGTATGCCTTCAACTACTGAGAAAATGTATTGTTGGTCAATTTTAACATAAAATGTTTTGTGGTCATTTTACTATAAATATGCATTGTTGGTCCTTTTGCTTTAAAATTGTACTGCTGGTCATTTGTCTATAGAGAGGTGCGGAATAATGGATTGCGGCTCGGACTGAGGAATCAGAGAGCCGATTTCGAATTCCAGTCGAATCCATTACATTCACTTACGTGCTAATACCCTTGAAAAAGGTATGAATCCTCTTCTTCTCTCACCAGCTATGAGTAAATAGCAGGATAGATCGGGTTCTCTAGCCTTGGATGGCAACTGGTCTGCTGCAGAAAGAAATGGCAACCTCTTGCGGGAAAAATCTGTCTCATCAGTCATTTATCGCATGACACATAACTGATTGAGGTCATTTTACAATATAAAAATGTATTGTTGGTAATTTTCTATAAAAGTGTATTTTTATGCTTTCATAGGCTTTAGGAAAGCTGGGACCCTAGCACGTGTTAATACCACGGGGGTCGGGGTGGACATGAGAATAACAGCAATTAAAACGTGGTTCCACGCTCCACAAAACCTCGAATCTCCCGATCAGAGGCCTCGCTGCAGGATGTGGATTATCGTCATACCCAGGACTGAAAAAACAGTTAATTTTTCAATAAGCTAGAACAACATTGCATAACTCTATCGTCCGACATTACTACTGAAAACTTAATCTCTCATAAGTAACATTATATGTTTATTTCTCTCCGGACTTCATCAATTACCCTTCAGTCGATGTGCGTTGCTCCGAGAACCATTCCGAATGTGAACCTTACATTCTTGTACGGATGTATGAGATGTCTCTAGGATGGCTATTGATATATCTGACTTTCGTATGATTTTTCCCCCGTGTGTGCACATCCTACGCGCAGCTGGGTCAACTACGTGTTTACTTGTCTGGTTAGGTACTGACATCGGGTGAAGCGCGGTTCTGTACATGACAGGTAGTTGGTTACCTCTCTGATCAGCCCGTTGCTGTATGATTACTTTTTCTTTTTCTTTTTTTTTTAACCGGTATCACCCCATGCAAGGCAGTAAAGCCACTAAGACACAAAGGGTTACAGAGTGTGGAAGAATTAGGAACAAAAACAGTATTAATGAGCGGGAAGAGGAAAGAGTAATTAGGAGGACAGTAGATAACGATTGACATTGCATTTAATTTTTTCAGTTGGCTGGAAAGCATACACAAGCGATAAATGCGAGAATAGAAATTGTTAGCATAAAATTTACAGTTACATTTAGCCAGTTGAACTTTAAATTGATGCGATCTCAACGCCAGTCTAGTAGTGCACTTAAATTCAAAATAGCTAGGTACCATAGCAAATAGCTTATCCAAGTAATTACCGTAAAATTAATTAAATAGAAAAGACACAGAGAGGCAATATTACGGCGGTAAGGAATGTGACTAAAGCCGAGCCGGCAGATCAGGACTAATAATATTGCTGATTCTTTGGATTTTATCAAGGAGCTGAAGGTAAATAGTATATAAATCTATATTCTCTAAAGGACACTGAATGCAATTTTGGCATCATCTGGAGTAAGTCACAAACTACAATACTACTATGTCGCAACATATTTAGCAGTTGGATACGTCTGGTGTTACATAACGTGATATCACATCATGTATTAGTCTTTTATTTAAGATGCGAAATTAATTGATGGTTTTTCTTCCCTGATAAATTAAAAAGTTTTTACGGTGTTAACGATTATATTATGTCGTCTTGTGTAAACGATACTGATATTTTTTTCTGTATTTTTGTAAAGGTTGTACTAAAAATAAACAGGCAAAACATACTAGATATGGTTAAAAATAAATAAATGCACATGTCACATACTTTAAAATAAAACTCAGAGATCGGGAAAAACAAAGGATGCCTCACAATTTCTAATCTATTTTTGTTAAAGAACTAAGGTAATAAAAAAAATGCAAAACGCGTGCTTTTTAAATACCACCGATATGGAAAGAACCAAATAAATATCGTAAAGATTACTATTTTTGCTTCAGCAACTTTCGAGGATACAGTAAATTAAAAAACAAATAACTTATTCTAATTTTCCGTCAACAAAAAAAAAATCTGATCAACTGTTTATCTTGATTATGTAGAAATTTACTCAGAGGAAGAAAATGCCAAAAGTAAAGATTAAGTATTTGTCTCAAATTGTTCAAACAATTAACTATATCTATTCACTCAGGATCACAATTGTTTAGTGATGAACCCATTTCCCCAAAACTGCTGCAGATCTCTGTATCCAGAAACAATTTTTCTGGATACCGAAATAGAGAAAAAAAAATTTTACACCATATTTCAACAAAGATCGACCCTTGATTTTATTGCATTTGTATAACTGCAAATATTTGACGTTAGTTATAATGAGAAAGGATGGGGACTCTAGATTCATCTAAAAGAAACCTGAAAAGGGTAATTTAATCAAAATGTTAAATATAGTGATTTTCCAAGCGTAGCTCAGATGTGGCACAAGGCCGAAAGTAGGGGGTACCCAGTGAGAATCGAACTCACTACTCAGTAGTAATTGTTCTAGCGAGACAAGCTTGCTAACCATTACACCGCCTCGAGGTGCCCAAAATGTTAAATATATACCAGTACGTCTTACTCGTTCTGTGCATTTAAAAGACCATATCAGCATTTGACGACTGTTCTTGAGAAAAAGTAACTACAATGAACACATTTAGATCTGATGTTAAAATCTAAAACTTCTATGTAAGCTACGAGCTCAGCAGTCAGGATAAACATAATTCTAATGTTTTCTTTGTTAGTAGGACAACATTGCCAAGGTTTTACATTGGCTTCCGAAGAAATTTTCAAATTAGGTGAATCTACAGGTTGGTGCCAAAGACATCAAATACAACACAGTGAATCCAGAAAATGTTCTACTACTACCCCTTCATATTATGATAAACAGTTTGCTAAAGGCCTATCAAAGCAAGGGGTAATTTGAGATTAATGCTAGTAATTACCAAAGGTCTGAAACGAATTTAATGCCCATCAAGGACATTTGATCTAAGAGTTGATCTGTGGTGACCCCAATATTTACTGGATTCAACCTAAGAGATACCAAAGTAAGCTTTGTACCCAGTGTCAACAGAGAACACCAAAAGAGCGAGGTAACTCAAGGATAGCCCTAGAAGGTGGACTCATGGTGCAGAATAGGGCCTCGCGGCATCAACTTAAACAAACAAGGGAACTCAGTTGAATATAGAGTATACACACAAAAACACGGATATGAGACAGTTATCTAAATGCCCAACTTACTAAGTAAGTGAATATTCGTAAGAAGATCGAACTTTCGAAAAAAACTCGAAACCAAATACCTTCGATTCGGTCGAAGGTTAATTTGACAGAGTCCATAAGTAAATAGTTTTTTACGCATGGAAAATTTACTCTTGTATATTTATCCGAGTTTACTAACAATACATATGAAAGGTGGCAAATATTTCCAAGTTTGTTTAGAAGCTAGATTGAAAGAGAGCGTATTTATTATACGAGAGTCGTTCAAAAGGTTCTAAGCCTAACCCAGAAGGGGTTGGAGAAACAAGAGAGTTTTTTTTTACTATTTTTCAATACAATCCCTCCTTGACATCAATGGACTTGATCCAGTGATGCTTAAGCATTGCAATCACATCACGAAAGAAGGTGGCGTCTGTTGCAGTTTTTTGTGTATATGTGTACTAGTGCGCTAGCCCAAATGACTTGACTCACTTTATAGTCCACCAATAGAAGGTTAACCAATCAGAAGACGTGAAATATTCAATCCGTCGTGTATAAAGGCGGCCATTTTGTTTACTCTCTCCGAATGTCCAGTGCCAACTTGTCAGGCGAAAGAACAGAAGGAAGAAGTACTGAACTACGCTCTGCTACTTTACCGGGATATCCACTGCTAACCTGAACTACGCTTCCCTACTGTCTTCGAAATATTCACTGCTAACCTCTGGATTCTATACTCAAAGACGACCATCATGAACAACAGCGTCTTGATCCTCCAAAAATACCTCCACAGTAGATATGATCCCATCATTGTTTCCAAAATGGCGACCACACAGCTGGGATTTGAGTTTGGGAATTCCGAAGCCCACTTCTTCAGAGTTGCATAGGAAGAGGGTCCTTAGCAAGTGTGTGTACCATGTCGTAATGGATTTCCTTGGGTGTCATATCTTTCTTTCGTAGATACGTTTTGACTACCCAGGCCTCTGTTTTGCCCATTTTTAGATTTGTCGCGCACCTCTCACCTTTATATGGGATCGACTACAGAGAAATTTAGACAGAAATCTTAATTAGTTTTTCTAGTTTTGATTGCTAGTGAAATGATTGCGTGTTGCCACAACAAAAATGTTCAGCAATGGATCTTCTTTCTGGGTGAGGCTTAGGAATTTCTGAACGACCACCGTAGCTGATGTCAGAAAACACATTTCTAATGCGAAGTGTGATCATGCGTCGAACGGTATGCAGAAAGAAGAATTAATATAATCCAGAGAAATTTTCTTTTTACTTTCTTATCCAATAATAACAATAAAACATGCAAACTAATTTTGAGAAATATGCTAATGCAGTTTAAGGACTGGAGTTGCAACGTTCAATTGTTTCACATTTGAAATATCTCCCCGAAAATCTTGGAGCGGAGAACGAAGAACAGGGCGAGAGATTTCTTTAAAATATCAAGGAATTGAAAAGACAGTAGAAAAGACGTTGAACTAACCTTATAATGGTAGACTAGTAAATGAATATTTCATAGGGACAGAGCAGTACAATCAACAAACGATTATTTACCAAATAAATGTTTGATTTTTTTTTAATTTGTGAGGCTGTAAAAAACTAGCGAAGTTATGTATCACTATGTTTGGCTTTAAAAATAAATCTGGAAAAATATATTTGCATAAAATTAATATAAAATTATGTTCGATATATCCACAGAAAACTATTACTTGCTATATTTTAATTAATTTTTTTTTCTGAATTTTTATTTCAAACGTGATATGATGAAAACAGTAAATGTATTTTTTGTGCATTCGTCAGTGGGGAATTAAAGCATTATTCAGAATTTAAACAATTTTCAGCTATGTTATCAATATCAAAAACCCAGTGTGAAATTAATAATATAAAACTATATTTTATCATACATATATATATGTGTGTGTGTGTGTGTGTGTGTGTGTGTGTGCGTGTGCGTGTGTGTGTGTCTATTCAAACATATATTGTTAAATATAACAGACAACGAATGTCTATTATGTTTGATCATGAGCCGTTCTAAGCTTCGTATAGTTGCTTTAATTTCAGGAGGAAATAAAGACAAAAACTTCCAACATTTGGATATATATTTTTATTATGCTGTTCCTTGATCTAAGGTTCAGATGAGCCATCGTCAGAGTGGTTGTATGAACATTTCAACAAAGATATTAAACATCAACTCTTTGATTGTGAATATCTTTGTTGAAATGTCTATATAGCCACATTTCCGCTCAGAACGGCTCATGATCAAACATAATAGACATTCGTTGTCTGCTATATTTAACAATATATGTTTGAATAATGATCTGCTGCTCAAATACAATATATATAGAAAGAGAAAGAGGGGGAGAGAGAGATTGAGTGAGTGAGTGAGAGAGAAAGAGATAGAGAGACCAAACGGAAAACTATTATAAACGATGAAGAACAAATCGGAAAACGTTTATCAATCTAACACGTTTCAATTTTATTAAAGCTTCATCAGAGAATAATAATAGTTAAACATGTTAGACTGATAAATTGTTCTTTAACTTATCATTCTGTCGTATTTCAAATTTTGTACCTTCAAGCGAAAATTCTTTCGTCATAGAATCTCTCGAAGTTTTTCATATGAGTTTCGTATGCTAACGTAAACAAAGAGAATTTTAGAATGGATTTTTTTATTAATCCGACATATTTTCATCCCTTTAACCGTTATTTTTAGAGGATACTCGTATTTCAGTAGACGCTCCGTTTATTTATTAAACTGGATATTTATTTATTTTCGTCTACGGACCTGAATGTTGGACAAATCTCCATTAAAGAAAAAAATCTGAGAGCAAATTACCTTTAATAATCTTTAACAGTGAAATTTGTGTCTACCGTCCTAGGCATTCGAAAATTTATAAAAGAAAATCTGCCTCGCCTCAGGGATGGAATCTGCATTTCTAACAACCTGGGAAAATCACCTTTAAGCGAGGCGTGCTTTTAGTTTTTGTTTTATGGCATATCAACCTCAATGGGTTATTTAATGCAGACAAGATTTTTATTTCTGGTAATGTTTTTTTTTCCAAAAATGCATTGCTGGTAATATTTTTTCCAAAAATGTATTGCTGGTGATAATTTTTTCAAAAATTTTCAAAAATGTATTGCTGGTTATTTTTTTTCTTTTTTCAAAAATATATTGCAGGTAATAATTTTCTACAGAAAAGTATTGCTGGTACTAAAACTCTTTTTTACACTTTCATATTGTTTTGACCCCAGTTTGGTGTTTAGCTATTTTTCCATATCTAGGACCCTAACAGGTGCTACCACTCCGTGTCAGGATGGATCTGGGAACACCAGCAATCAAGAGGTGGTTCCACGCTCCTCCAAACCTCTTGATCAGAGGCCTTGCTGTTGGATGTAGTTTATCGTCTTACCCAGGACGCGGCGTGCTTTTCACCGCTCAGCTGTGAAGGCACACCTTGATTTTCACTGTTTAGAAGGTTCGACTGCTGCTGAGAGGCACATTTTCTTTAATAGGATTTTCTATTGATTAGGCCGGTAGAATTTCACTATTAACAAAATTTTAAAAAAGGATATTTGCTCCAACTCTTGTATCCTCTAAATATAACAATTATGAAACAATGCCAATTAAAAAAAAAAAAACGTTAAATCAAAATATATAAGTTTGTGATTAGTGAAGCAATGCATACATATATGCATGTTCGTGAATGTATATATAGATAAATAGGAACTAGCCAGCGTTGTGCCGAAATTATCTTACATAAATGAATATTTATCAAATTATATTCTTTGTGTGTGCGGTGAGATTCAAAACTTGAGCTAATTTATCGCTCGAAATGGCTATTCGAAAGAACAATAACAAAAATGACAGAAAATAAGATTCTTTATTTCCTAATGGAGCGATCTCAAGAAATTTATTAAATGTCTAGCGAGACGCGGGAGACGTTGGCTAACTTGAAATATGAACGGAGTGAGTTGTCTATTCAATATCCCTGAACGTTTAAGTAACATCTCCCGTAGAGAATTCTTTATCAAGAATAGTTTTAAAGTCCAAGGTCACTTGAGTACCACAAAATTATTTTGGGACGAATGATTGATAAAAATGTCCAATGGAAAAACAAGATAAAAATCTTACAAACACAGACTACAGACGAAGAAATAATAGCCAACTGA